TTTAATTTTATTGTACAATTACTGTTAAGAATATGATGCATTGATCGAAAAGTCCTCGTTTTGCTAATAGGATGCCAAGTGGCATATTCTATTGGTTCAAATGTTTTTTTTTTTTTAACAAACGATAATATGTACACTAAAAAAGAGAATGTAGATTTAATTTCACATGAGTTAACAATAATATGATTCAAATTCACATTTGGCGGGAATTGAAACGAAAGTCTCTTACTTACAAGTGAAGAGGAATAACATTATACCGTAATAGTAAGTGGCCATATTTATTCAAATGTTTATTACGTGTACAAGTAAACTCATGTTATATAACTCTGCACCCAATTTAAACACTAGATGTGAATTATCTTTTTAATTTTATTGTACAATTACCGTTAAGAATATGATGCATTGATCGAAAAGTCCTCGTTTTGCTAATAGGATGCCAAGTGGCATATTCTATTGGTTCAAATGCTTTTTTTTTTTTTTAACAAACGATAATATGTACATTAAAAAAGAGAATGTAGATTTAATTTCACATGAGTTAACAATAATATGGTTCAAATTCACATTTAGTGAGAATTGAAACGAAAGTCTCTTACTTACAAGTGAAGAGGAATAACATTATACCGTAATAGTAAGTGGCCATATTTATTCAAATGTTTATTACGTGTACAAGTAAAGAAGAATATCATTATACCGTTGTAGTTATGGGAGGGAGGGAGGTAGGGGAGGGGGGGGGGGTTTAGGGTTTGGTGGGTGTGTTCAATTCCCACCGAAGAGTCCAAAAACCAATGCTATCTTATGTTTCCCTTCATACGCATGCACTACGTACGCAGCCAAAAACCAAAGATATATGCATGTCGTTTTCTTTTGCTCATAATGATGCGTAAACAAAATAGATGACAAGACACGATCTGTATTCATCGCTACTGTCTTGATTGCGAGGGATTTTTTAATGTGCTTGAAACACGGATGCTACGTCATATGTTATTATATATAGTTGAAATTTTTTTTTCTTTTTTTTTTCAAGTATTCCTCTATTTATATAATGACATACAACATATATATGTGTCTTTATTTTGAACATACTAAAAAATCTTTTCTTGATCGCTAGTTTGCATTTGGACATTTATTTTAAAAAACTAATACATAAACATATTAGATGCATGGCAGCATGTGAAGTTAGATGAAAGCTAGCTTGTGGGAGAGAAATTTTTATGGAACGAGTTTATTATTATTGTGATGTCTCAAATATTAACGCAAAGCTATCAACTATGTAGAGAAATTTATCGAGTTAGTGGCTCGAAACGCCACCTCTAAGTGTGCCCAAAAGTTACTTAATTATGCATGCAGTAGTATAGTCTCTTTGTTTGGTAGTCGAGGGATAAATCCCGTGGAGACCCTATATAAATATCATGCAGTAGTCGTGGGCTGGTTTGGTATTGTTGTGCTTTGAAAAAAAACTGCTGTGAGAATAAGCGGCTGTGCTGTGAGAATAAGCGGCTGTGAAATAAATCAGCAGAGTGTTTGGTAAACTTTTTTGTAAAAGTGCTTTTGGAAAGAAAAAAAGCAGTCTAATAGTGGGTATTTTCATTAAAGAAGCATTGTAGCTCCGTGTGCTTTGAAAAAAAGCTAGTTTTCCAAAGCTACAAATAGCAGCTTCAGCTTTTTCTTTTGATTTCAGCTTATTCTCACAGCAGCTTCCAAAATAAGCCCTTTTTTTTCAGTTTACCAAACACCTAAAACCCTCACAGCTTTTTTTCATGGCTGCTTTTTTTTTAAGCACCTCACTCCCAAACTAGGTCGTAGTCTCGTTGGTTGGTAATCGATCTCTTTAGATGCCGTATAGAGCCTGGCTGTGCATGACACATCAATTCTTGTCACAATTCTTACATAGGCTTTTTAACCAAAATGACTTCTAAAATTAGATATAACTCCTTATTTTGGTATTTGATATTAAAAATTGATAGAATTGGTTCTTGAGTTTATCCATCATCAATTATTTTGGTCATTCCGTGAAAAATCTCCGTTAAATAAGAGAAAATGACAAAAATACTCTCAGTTTTTGTCAAATCATTTTGGCCAATCGTTTATTAAATTGAGCGTATTTTGTCATTTTGGTCTTTATTTAACACAATTTTTTTACGGAATGATCAAGATGATTGATGTTAGACAAACTCAGGGACCACTTCTATCGATTCCAAATCACAAAAATCAAAATAAGGAGTTATACCAATCATAAAGATCATTTTAACTAAGGTTATACATGCGCGCTTGATTGCTTATATTAAATACTTCAAATTTTTTTATTATTATGTTTAAAGTACGAACAACTAACTCAAAACTAATTGATTATTTGTCAAAACGAGAGCTACAATATAATTTTTTATTATATTTTTCAATGTGAGAGCACGGGTGTCTGTTGAAACGCTAATAAGTACAATGATTATGTTATCTTCAACATGAGATACTCAATAATTAACAGCTATGTTCAACACAATAAAATAAGGTGTTTCTTCATCTCATAGCATGTGTGTGTGTGTATATATATATATATATCGGATTCTCGTGAAATGCCTTAGAGTTATTAGGTCATATCTAGGCTCCAACAACAACAAAATAACAAGCATAAAATCCAATATCCCCATACAACTTATAAGCAAAGGTATCTGCTAGAATAATATTCACCATTAGGACTTTTGTATCACAGTATCATCATAGTTTCTCGTGTCAATCATATAAATACGTGAATAACTTTCTCCACATATGACATTACAATATTGACATATGAGAAATGTTAAAAGAATTTTTTCAATAGTGTGACTCTTAATAAGCTCTCTATCACCTTACAATTTACATCAATTCTCATGTTAATATTAAAAAAATATTATATCAAAAACATGAGGTGAAAATAATTTTTTAAAAATCAAACTTATGAGAGAGTCCCTTAACATTTCTCCCACGGATAGAACGCCATGATTACAGTATGCCAGTCCTTACTCCTTACATTGGTTTAGTATCTAGGGTGGTGTGTATATAATAATATACACACGACAAACATTACAAGTGACTACGCCATTACTATACACTGCATGTGCATTCAAGGCCTTTATATATCGCTAAGAGTTGAGATAATTCTTTTAAAAGTGAGATTTTTTATAATTTTTTTATTACTTCACAGTTTAACGTTAATTCTCGTACTAATATTATAAAATATTATGTCAAAATATGAGATAACAGAGAATCTACGAAGAGTTCTACAATTTTAAGAGTGTCTTATTAACGTTCTTTGTATCCATATGGAGCATTATTTAACCTTCTATTTTATAATTTGCATCTGTCTCTCAGCCGTTGAATAAACACATTATTAGCCTTTAAATAAAAAATATTTGAACCACATCAGGTTAATCATCATCAAATTTATAATTAAACAAAGAAACCCATATATTGAATAATAAAACTCATCAGTTGTTGCCTCTAAATAGCAGTTGGCATGCCATGCGACCAAACAGATAGAGTTGCCCTAATTTGTTTCCTATTATTGGAATATTGTCCACATGTTGTAGTCGAAACATTTCATTTTCAGGTTTAGTATTTGAAGATCATTTATGTCGATAGCAATCAAACGAGAGATTATTTAATCATCTAACTGTATTAAATAAAGGGACCGATAATAATTAAAAACTGTCAGTTTGTTCGTGGTTTCTAATTTTGTTGAAGATATCAAATCTTAATGTAGAGAGTATCATTACATATTTATGAAATTGGTTATTTAATCAAAATTAATGGACAATGTATATATGTTTGATTATTTTTTTTTCTAGTGGTGGCTTGTTTTGCATGTTTAGACATGGGCCGGACTATCTCGGACTGGACTAGCTTCAAGGACTAAGCTGGATTGGTTTAGACTAGACTAAGCTGGACTAATTTAGTGAAGCGTTTGGTGCAGTGTTAGACTAAGAAGCTGGATAATAACAAATTCTAATATTATATTATTTAATATATAAATTATTAATATTTTATTATGATCTAGGTGACCGGAGATGATGAGGAGTCTATCGGGAGTGGTTATTGAGCATGACGAGGACAAGAGAGGATAGTCTTAGCTAGTCCCATGGTTATTGGGGGTTCTCGCTAAGACCTCTTAGTGAAGGGTTTTGTCCATGCTAGTCCCCTTTAGTCTCATTAATGTTAGTCCCAGCATGGAACAAACACAGTATTGGACTAACAACTAGTCCAGTCCAGTCCCACTTAGTGAAGGCAAACAAACGCCCCAGGTTTGACTTTAGAGAGGTTAGGTCTCATGTCCCTCCTCTTTTGTTTGTATTTTTTTTGTTTTTGTTTCTAGAAGGTAATGTTTATGTCCTCCTAACTACGTGTCACTTCTTTTTCGTTATCAATAAATTTCTCATGTACTGCCAAGGTTTTCTAAAAGAACATATATGTGTTTGAGTAATGTTACTCTTACCACATTTCTCATATCACATTTGTACAATCTCTTCAATAGCGATGGAGCCCACCAGTACATGCGAGTCTCATTTCTGTTGGAAAGATAGTAGAAATGTGACGTCGTATTCCCCACAAACAAGTAATTATAGTCTTACTATATATTTGTATCACGGACTTGGATTGTCTGCCCTCCTATTTCGGTGCCCACCCCGTGCCCTCCTGTTTTGTGTGGTCACGGTTAAGCCACGTCAACATTTTATATTGTTTTTTTTATAAAAAAAAAAAAAAAAAGAAATAGTAATATAAAATGTTAATTTGGCTTAACCGTAACCACACAAACAGGAAAGCACGAGAATGACACCAAAATGGAAGGGCAGACAATCCAAGTCCTTGTATCACTTCAATAAAAATAGAACTTGCCAACACTAGTGTTACATCTCTCCCATAGAGATGGGCTGGTGGGCCCTAGTACAGAACAACGTAGTAAGCGTGCGTACGTGTCGTTGTGGGATAATTTTTCCTTTTTAAGACATAAATATTTGGTGCGAAATTCAATTTACAGTTAGCTCACCTCCTCTGTTCTTTTAAGATCTGCTTCCTTCTTCTTCTCACCCAGAGGCAGAGAGAGAAAAGTGGAGAGACAGACACAGAGAGATTGATTCGGAATCGGGTTGGATTATTCCGGTCATTCGAATGGAGGAAAAATCGGAAACGGCCGGTGTGAAAACGCCGCTGTTGGGCAGCGGCGGACGCAGCCGGCGACTGAGCCGAAGAAACTCGTACAACTCACTCAGAAGCGACTTCATTTCGAGGCTCCCTGACAAGGTCCGTGCCGGTATCGACCCCGAGTCTCCTGACGACATTGACTTCTCTCGTACCTCCGCCTTGAACCGAGGTCTCTCTGTGGCAACTGGGAAAATGTAGAAAGAAAAATTCGTTATTCTGTTGGAAAATGTTAATGGTTGGGGAAAGAGTTATCTTTTTATGCTTTTCTTTCAATTTCTGAAGAACCAAGAGACAGTTTGGTGTTTGGTTTTAAGATAACTATGTTTGATTTATTTTCCTTCATTTTCTCAGCAACCAAACAAACAGAGTAGTACAATTTGTTCCAAACAAACAGAGTAGTACAATTTGTTCTTGAAGCTACAATTGTAATTGGAATTGTTTTTGTGTGTGAGTGAGTTTATTTGGTTTGTTTCAAGCAATTTATTGATCCTGGAAGGTCTATATATGTTGTAGGAGAAAAGGAATACTATGAAGCCCAATTTGCAACACTTAAATCCTTTGAGGAGGTTGACTTCGCGGTGGCAGCCGACTGCGTTGATGAGGACGATTTCGAGGAACAAGCACAACATGAAAGAGCAATGAAGATATCCAACTACGCCAATATAATTCTCTTGGGACTTAAGGTACTTAATTTGTCACAAGACCTCGGGTTCAAGATTAAACGCTCTTAATCACTTGCGCTACAAGTTGCATTAAAAATTGCGCCCGGAAAATCTCGTTCGTTTATATGATAGCATAAGCAATATATGTTTGAAACAAATTACATTTTGTCTGCGATTTCATTTTTTCATTTTACAATTCTAAGATAATAATTTTGGAATGTGTAGATCTATGCTACTGTAAAGAGTGGATCGATAGCCATTGCTGCATCGACTCTAGATTCCTTGCTCGATCTCATGGCCGGTGGAATACTTTGGTTCACTCACCTGGCAATGAAGAACATCAATATCTATAAATATCCTATCGGAAAATTGAGGGTGCAGCCTGTCGGTATAATCATCTTTGCTGCTATCATGGCTACACTCGGTATGTCACTATACCTTTTATTGCCTTCAGCATCTGTTGCTTTTTTCATGTCTCCCTTGCCCCTCGTTATATTGTCAACTTCTTCGCCAGATGAATTTGTCTTATATCTTCCTTTTAGCTTCCATTTTGTTTGCTGAACAACATGTTAGAAGAATGAAACCAATTTTCTGCATTATTTCGAACTTTCGCTCTGGTTTTTGTCCAGATCAATAGTGGGGGCTATCAAAGATCATGAGAAATATCTAATAATCCAATCTAAGTTGAACCGGAATGATTCAGAGCTTGATCATATGTTCCTCATTTGGAAACCCTAGGCAAAATAAACAAGGAGCAACGCGTTGAATTCTTATAATCTGATTGACGGTTTTCTATAAAGACTGGATTGTAATTGAAGTATATGGTTTAGATATCTTTTTGTCAGAGTAAAACGAAGAAAATTTTATTTCGAGTGCTCAATGACACTTTAATCTGCAGGAAAAATAACAATTTTGAGGTGAATACTATTTAGTCCTAGAAAATTTCTTGGTAGTATACCAGTGTACTTGATGTATGTGCTCAAAAGAACGAGCCTTAGAGTCACAACGGTATCATAAAAGGTATGCAATTAGGCTTGCAGAAAGCTTTATAATTAAACTAGACTATGTTGCATATATAAACTTCGAACCGGCTTTACTTTTATGCGCTTCCACTTAATTACAGGTTTTCAGGTCTTGATCCAGGCTTTAGAACAACTAATAACCGGTGATGCCACGGAAAAGATGACCTCGGACCAATTGGTGTGGTTGTACGCAATCATGATATTTGCCACCATGGTAAAACTTGCACTCTGGTTATACTGCAGGACCTCAGGGAACAAGATTGTCCGTGCTTACGCAAAGGTTTTATGTTTCTTCCTTTTTAGCAAGTTCTTTTTACGGGATTTCAGTTCTATTTTTTCATGTTATATGACTTCCTTGAATGCAATTACCAGGATCACTATTTTGATGTGGTAACGAACGTAGTAGGATTAGTGGCTGCTGTTCTTGCTGATAAGTTTATGTGGTGGATTGATCCTGCTGGTGCTATTATCCTTGCTATATACACGATTACAAATTGGTCCGGAACTGTTCTAGAAAATGCAGGTACATTTTCCAGCTTTTCTTGCTTGCCTTTTGATCTCACATAAACCTTACATGACTAATGGTCATGCTATCAGCTGGGTTTTCCGCTTCTAATGTTAAATAAGCACGTATGAAACACAAGAATTTTACATAGGGTCAGAATCGTTTAAATCATACGTTTCATGTTATCAATTTACAAAATTTTCTTCTGTTTTCTTGAGTGTGCATGATAGTATCTTATTGAAATGAGTTGAATTCATGCTTGACAGTAGACATTTGAAAATGTTCATAATGTTTTGTACTTAACATGGGATCGACATCATGCAGTTTCCCTCGTGGGACAATCAGCGCCTCCGGAATTCTTACAAAAACTGACATACATTACCATAATGCACCCTCAAGTGAAGCGTATTGACACAGTTCGCGCTTACACATTTGGTGTTCTTTATTTCGTAGAGGTTAGTCATATTATATGCAATGTCGATCTTATATTTTCATGACAGAAATCTTGTCACAAACCTTACAAATCACGGAATTAAACCGTATCATCTGCAGATTGCATTCTATATCAAGAAACAGATTGTGAAATTTTATATTTTGTTTTTTAGTTTAATTAGAACTTTCATATTTGTTAAAACAGGTTGACATTGAACTCCCGGAGGAGTTACCCTTGAAAGAGGCACATGCCATTGGAGAGACCCTCCAGATAAAGCTCGAGAAACTTCCCGACGTTGAGCGAGCATTTGTTCATCTTGACTTCGAATGTGATCACAAACCGGAGCATTCTGTACTTGTCAAGCTTCCGAACACTCAGCCCTGATTCTCCGCGTCTCATTTTTCCATACCAAGTAGGCAAATGGCATTGTGAGAAGGCCTTTTAACTGTCTTTTGCGAAGGTCAATCCCAAGTGTTTGAGTTTATCTGTTGGAAGATGAAGCGATATCTGCAGAAATCTATTTACTTTTTTGCGGGAAATGATTTCCTCTTTCGTTCAGGTCAGTTTAATAACGGGAGAGTAGACTGGGGACTGCGCGCCCTTTACATTTTTGCTCGAGAAACTATTGTGCCCTGCACGAGCAGTTTAGTCTTCTAGGAAGCAAATCGAGCGGAACTCTCTGTTTGTCTTTCACATACCGTTTGTTGAACAGTTTCAATGCATGTAAGCTTTGTATACGAACAAACAAACGCAAGTTGTTCATCGGTTGATGTTATACAATGCTGCTTGTGTCCATAAGCTTCTTAATTGTTTCGCTGCGTGAAGAGAAAAGAAAATGTCTGCAGAACAACAGTCCGTAGCTACAGGCTCTGTTAAAACCGAAAATATATATTGAGATGTAATAAAATCGACATCCATTAAGCGGAAATAGTGTGCAAATGGGAGCTCTGCTACGACATAGCGGAAGGAAGGCTATATATATGGTTCACATACATCTTTAGCTTTTTAACTCTTCTAAAATGATTGTACAGGAAAATCGAACGGTCACAATGCCGGAAATCAACTCTCTTGTGGGGAGGTCACGTTGATGCAGAACGATTCTGTTATGAATTTGGCAAAAGCCGGCCATTGTACATCTTATCGAGTAACTGTCGTGCATCAGGTCTCCGGAGAAGACCTTTGTTGTTCGGTACACCAGTCCCTAAACAAACCGGACACACGAGCTTCCCGCGTCCTGTTTACGACAACAGAGAATTACTCATCAAAGAAAATGCATCAACTACACAGTGCTCTTAGTTTTACATCTGTATATTTATTTATTTTACACAATCCAAGTGGAATTTTCGCCTTGAACGAAACGCTTAACTAGTTCGAAATATTGAAACGAAAAATAGTAAGTACGAAACAATCTTGGAGTATATGCTGAAACAGAAATATGAGTGTTAATGATGAGTACAATACCGTAACAGTTTGGGCATTCAGTAAACTCGTACACGTCCTTAGCCCGTTTTCTGTTAAGAGCTTTCCATTTTCCTGTACCACCACACATATCACCTAAATGAAAAGCAAATTAACATCTCGTGGATGAAGGGCATACCATAAGTAACAGAAACACTAATTTCCATGAAAAACGAAACCCAAGTAGCATACAGTTCTAGCTGATCTTTTTCAATGGCACGCTATCATTCATAAAGAAAAGCTAACTCTCGTAAGGGGGCAGGCATACCACTAATTTCCTGGAAAAAACGAATCAAGCATACAATCTAGCTGATCTTTTTCAATGGACGTGCATTCCACTCGAAATCTCGCTGACTACATCTAAACTCTTTAACATAAAACAGCTAATATATAAGAGGAAAAAACAAATCTGTTTCTCCTCCAACGAGCAAAAATATCAGCTCGACACTGTTCAAAGAAAACTAAGAGCCAACAGAAAAGGCCAAAGAACACAGGAGCTCATACTTTCCATAAGAAAAATAAGAACAGTTAAACAAACAAAAATCACTATTTGAAATAGTTCGGAAACAAATTGGAACGCTGAAGTTGCTTTTCTAGCTGAGCCTCAGGACCAACATTATTTGCACATTCATCTGTACACAAGAATTTTGGGCGTAGAAATCCTAGATGAAAAATTATACTTACAAAGCACAGCGCCACTTCCCCCACAATTCCGACAACCAGGTCTATCATTTCCATCCAGGGCAAGTGCCTTTTGGCAAAAAGTGGTTGGTTCAAAGAATGCGGTTTGAATTGCACTGTTATAGACATGTGAAAAATCGTACACAAATCCATTAAATATAAACGATACTTTTTATAAATTGATAATTTTGTTTTAAAAATTCCCAATTGGCAGTAATACACACTTTTTTTTGAAAACCAATATATCAAGCAAAAGTTGTGAGGCCGTTTCGCAGCGGCAGGAAACATGGACAAAGATTTGACTTTCACTACAAGAAACGTTAACTTTTAGATAGAACCCATTAAGGCATGAATTCATCTGATTGCTGCAAGCCATCACATAATAATTGAATCAATCATACCTTCAAAGTCAAAAAACATTGTCAACTAGCTAAAATTCATAATGTTTGACTTTAAAATATTCCACTTTTACATGAACCCAACAGACTTTGCACTGTAGTTTTGGCTACAAAAAAGAAACAAATCATTAAAAAAATTCAAAGAAAAAAATTTTCAAAAGTTGTGTCTTAAATCTAAGTGTATGAAAACAAAATGAAAATGTTCACAACTCCTCAAATATCAATTTGATATAGATGAACTGACTAAACTTACATCACAAGCCAATATACTAGCTTCATTGATCAGCTAACTAAAGTTTATGCTGAAATGTCCCACATCGACCGTATCAATGATAAAAGAAGAGTTTTACCAGCTCGAGGAAATATGGAAAAGATTAAATCTTTCCCATTTCTAAAGTAGTTAAAAACATAACGACCTTAAAATTTTAACTTTAAAGAATTTAGAACCCAAATTAGGCATGGGCGGCTAAAAAGCGATCCATACATCAAAATTGTTTTCGTAAATAATGGGCTATCTTAGATTCTCTCGAGATTTAAAATCACCGAACTACCCTGTCATATTCTTCTCTTAGTGCCAGTTGTTTACAATTACAACTTTGTTTTTCTTTCCAGTTTTCCATTTAAATTTTCTCAGTTTTTTTCGCTTTTCACACTTTCAGACCATTCAAAAAATGTTGAATGGCTATTTTCCGAAGCAAATATTAAGTACATCAAAGCTAATCCATCTTGTTTCCTTTTAAATTATTTGTGAAAGAAGCCGGACTATCTATAAAACGGATAGGGCTGGCGTTAAAAAAAGGACTAAATAGTGCAAATAGCGGAAGTAAAGAGAATATGATATAAGGAACACAAGAACAGAGATTGTGGCAAAATAAGAAAGGACGATTTACCATTTGTGCCAACGTTCTTATTAAGAAGTTTGCACAAAGTCTCAGTGATATGGTGTACTAAAATAAGAGTGACAATACCCCACATTTGAGTTGAAATTTCATTCAACTCAAGTACCACAGGTGATGCAAATGTAAATGCAAATGGATATTAGGCTCCTAAAACTGAGAGAATAGACATAAAAAAAATTGACAGATTTTCAGTTTGTTGGATTCAATTACCCGGGGGCTATCATGATGGAATTGGTTCTACAAGATTATGCTATTTTATCCAAATTTCGAATTTAGCTTGGTCTTTAATTTCTCTAATGTCCATCTTGTCAAAGAAAAATAATTTAGAAATGCCTCACTTAAATACATGGCCTGGACTAACTGAACGAAATTACTAACTGAATTTGTTGGTGGTTCTCCCATAATTTAGAAAATCCCTAATTAACATTAAGTTAGATTTACATACAATTTGCCGTTAAAAAATTGATGTCTCAAATATGAATTTCATTGACAATACCTTAACAAATATGATGACTATTGCAAATGTAGCTTGGTTTTAAGCCAAAAAAAATACCCGTGGCACATTCAATAATACAATACATAAGAAGATTCCATAAATTTTAAAAATCCTAATTAACATTAGTTAACTTAGCCAAATAGATCTCCTAATTTACAAAATGACTATTTTAACATAAGCCAAAAAATATCATCCATAAAGTTATAAATTAATAAACATTTTAATAATACATTAATAAAATAACATCCATGTTAACAAACCAAAATCCCCATCGCTGCTGTCGCTGAAGCCTTTGGACGAACTTCTTGAGTTTCGGTTGATTGATGAACACCTGAACATTTTTTCAAGATAAATAAGAGATAATGCATCAATTTGATCCATAGGAGAGAGACCCATTGCTTCAAGTTCATTAGCTATGTCAGTATTTTTTTATTGAATTATCTGCCGAACCAGTTACGGTGCCATCCACGCCATCAGCAACCCTCTGTTCTGCTTCTGGATCATCTTTCACAGTTTCATCACCACCTCCCTGCACAAACATCAATCTCCTCATATACATGAATGAAAGAAGAATAACAAAAAAATACTCACTAATTCAGATCAAGAGGATGGTAAATTCATTGACAAAGACACAATTAAAGATTGTCTTCATACCCGATTCACCAAGCAATTGATTGAAGGATGTCTCCGTAGAAGATTATGAACCAGCGCAATATTAACTAACGCTCCAGATGGAGGAACTGAAATTGATAGCCTACTCAATTTCTTGGCAAAAGCCGCAGCCAAATATGCAGGAAGAAGTGGCGATTTTAAGCAAGCATCTACAAGCTGCAAATCAAATAGAACAATTGTAAATTAACCAATTCGTTCAATCTGAATATTCAAAACCAATTAGTCCTATATGTCTTGTGTTATAGAAGTTTAACTTTAGACCAACTGTTACTGCAGTAGTGATTAGTATTACCTGAAAAAACTTCGATCGATGTTTTGCCAGAAAAATAGAGGGAACCAGTAATGCATAAAGTTTCTCATAGAAGTTGGGGTACTCTAAACCATGTTGCGTCATGAGGATGAAAAGACTGCTAAGAGCCATGACGCTGATAACACCACCAATGTCATACGATCTAGTTAAGAAGTCGCTGCACATCATCAATATATGAGATGTCATGTGATTTTATAGAAAAGTCACAGCAAGCTGTCAAGAAATGAACTACAATCAAAGTCACAAAAGACAAACTGAAAACATAAATAAAACATGTTTCATAAGTAAATTTACCATAACAGGACAGGGTTAGCTAGAAAAGGAATGACTGCCTGGAGTGTGGCAAGAACCTGAGCATCAAAACATACGAAAAAAGAAAAGAAAGATAACACTTCCTTCCAATGATTATGGAAATAATTATCCATGTATTACTCACTCATTCCACTACTTATACAGTCAAATGAACTGGAAATAGCATCTTTACATTTCATTAAGTTAATAAGAATGTTGGGCAATAATCATGTTGGAGCCCATAGCAAGGACTGACTAACTGATGCATACTCTATTTTCCATTTTGGTAGGTGATTAACTTATCCATCATCATTAACAAAGTCTTCCACCAAAAGAAAAAGTATTAGAAGGAAGCAAAGTACGAGTTCAACTGCTTAATTACTGAGTGAGAAGGCAGGGAACACTAACCTGATCCACTCCACATCTCATGATCAGTTTTATCAACTGAGCTTTCCAGAGAGGGGATGTGTGATATCAAATAATGAATCTTGTGAATTAATTGATCCATGCTGCAAGTAAATAATTTTAGCCATCAAAAGCTAATAAGTTAACGCATTAACATACCAAAGAATCCAACATGTATGCATGCTAAACATAAATTCATTGACTCGATTACAAAATAAAAGAATAGCACAGATGAAAATGGACTTTGAGTCAAGGAAGAATCCAATATTACATAAAGATATACAAAGATCCAAGTAACGTAAAAGTAAAATGTTTAATTCCAAGAAATATTGATCTGAGACCAAAACATCTACACATATTGTCAACAATCTGCATATGCAGAATGTAACAATAACTTCAACACTTGCCATTATGTCTGACCCAATCAGAGCACAGAAGGCAACACATTCTATATTAGGGTCATGTACATCTCTTAACAAGAGAAGTTCAATGAGAGAATAAGAGAACAGAAATTTCCTAAGCGATAGCGTTTTACTAACCTTTCCCTAGGATGCTCCCCATCTTTACCGTCTGTCTTGATGTTTTTATCCTCTAAGAGGGAGATAGAAATGAACAAACCTACTAAGTTAACTATAACATCGCCACTACCCTCACTCGAAAAGATGAAAAACATAAGTTTTTGCAAGAAACACAGCAGAAAGTACCAGAAATCCCATTTGCATCCAGAACTTTGGAAAGCTTTTCCAAGCTAATGTAGGTAAAATAACTGCAAGAAATAGATGCCACAATTATTACACCTTTTAAGTGGCCAGTACCACAAATTTCCATAATAAAGGTTCCAACAAATAATAGAAGTCCTAAGAAATATCATAATTCCTAAAATCAATGGAATGTGATCTTACCGGACATCAATATACTTGAAATACTTGGATGAGAGCAAGTCTAACATCAAATCAACTGGTGACGTAGTGTAAACCTATCAGCGATAACAAAAAAAATTATAGCTTACTATTGAAATTACAACAGAGAAATATGAAAAAATAAAACTCAAACTAAGCTTTTGGAGAATCAATACAACTTACAATACTACGAAGCAGCCTATGGTACATTGCAGAGTGAAACTTTCCACCATTTCCGAACATCACAAACTCCATTATCGTGTCCAACACCACCTCCTAATCGCATTCAGAGAATCGAATTCTAAAATTGAAATCGTACTTATACAAAAACAAAAGAGAAAAGAACTGACTTTCAATAAATCGAAAGCAACCCTGAGAGCTTCATCGGATTGCGTAGAAAGCAGGACTTCGACGAGGGCCTCAACGAGCTCGTCGAACTTGGAGCGGAGCCAGGTCAGGTATATGAAGTCGGGGTCGTCGTGGGAGCCATCGGAGTCGGGGGCTTGGAGGAGGAGGAAGGGAGGTCGGGGAGGAGAGGGGTGAAGAAGGACTGGAGAGAGAGGAGGGACTCGACGATGTTCTGAGGTGGCGAGGCCGGGGAAACGAAGGAGAGGAGCTTGGGGAGGTTGTTGATGTGGGCCCGAGACGAGAGGAGCTCGTTACCTAGGGTTTTGAGGTCGGAAAGTTTGGTGGCTTTTTGCTTCTGCTTCTGCTTCTTGGAGAGGATTGAGGCCATGGCTGCTTCAGTTAATATCACAAACAAATCCACACAAATCGACGAAAAACATCCAAGATTCGAAGCTTACCAACTTGAGGCAGATGACAGCGACCAGATGCTGTAAGGACGACGATGAGCGTGAGGACGATGTGGGAGCACGGCAAGGACGACGACGAGGGCAGACGCAGAGATGAGGACGATGTGGGATGTGGGATGTGGGATGTGGGAAGACGCAGAAAATCTGTCGATGGTTTCTCTGGCTTACGAGTCCGCCCGAAATTGGGATCCCTCGTGAAGAACGGCTAAGCCCCCCCTTAGTCCTAGCGAATCCCACCTAAGCTCATTAAAGCTAATCCCGATGCCCACCAAACACTGGACTATAGTCTAGTCCAGTCCAGTCCCAGTGAATCCTGTCAAACAAACGTACCCTAAATCTACATGCACTGCCCTGGACAAAAGTTAACAAGCGACTGAATTGTTCAAACCGGTTAAACCAAACCAATTTAGTTTTTTACGGTGAAAAAGTATAATTTTAACCAAATGAAACCAAATGACAATTGGTTATGTTCGGGTTAGCCCTGTTTGAAAA